ATTTGGTGCTCCCCCCAGAATACGAGTGGGAGCTGCCGGAGCCGTTTGGCTCCGGGAGGGATTCCCCAGACACTGTGTGTCCAGGACCCTCCTGGGTAGATTTAATAATCTTTGGCCTCATGTCATGGTTTTTTTAGTTTAACGTCCTTCGACGGGAACGCCTTCGGCACTGGACTCCCTCCAGCGACTCAGCCCCTTGCCAGGCGTCAGAACGTGGGCTTAGAGCATTTTTTATAGAGGTTTACGTCCTCGCGGATCCGAAGATCCACCGGTCCTGTCCATTCAGGATTACGGCTGGGCCGGACGGGGTCTGCACCAGACCGGGTCCGTCCGCCCCAGGGTTTTTATAGAGGTTGCCTTCCTCGTAGCCCTCGAAGAGCCGTCATTCCTGACTGTTGCCAGTCAGGGTTACGACATGGCCGGATGGTGGTCTGCGTCAGACCAGTGTCCACCACCTCTGGACAGAGCCAGCGGCAGTGGACCCGTCCGCCCCCAGCCCGCTCTCCCCTATGCCCTCTGCCAAACAGAGGGGCATGCGGAAAGCAGCCCTCCGAACAGCCCTTGACGGGCCGTTCCCACCTCGGCCGGAATTGGCCGCAGGCGGCAGCGCCTCTCCCACCTAGGGAGAGAGGCGCTGCCGTCTCCGTTGCCCAGGGTGCACCACAAGGAGGTTCCGGACCACGCACCCCGCGGCACGTGTCCTGGCTCTCTGCCAGCCCTCACTACATTACTGCCGTAACTTATCAATATCTGTACTGATATAGGTACAGTATCTGGCCAACGTGATTGAGTCTATTAAAAGGAATAACTTTTCTGCTGCTAGACTCCTATTGTTCATAGCGTGATGTCGTATAGCCTTCCTCAATAAATAGGCTATCCAATACTAAAAGAATTCGAACCAGTAGTTCCTGAGATTAGCGCACTCAAGCAAACAAACTAACTCTTCATCTTCATCATATTAGTATAGAGAACTAGCGGAGCCGGCAAACGTTGTTCTGCTAGTTAAATTATCAAAGAAATCGAATGTACGATAATTAAATCGCCAATAAAAATGGGGGTTGGTTTAAAAATTATCTTTTCTCTAAAAAGAAAAACGGCGTGAGGGATCTATGGACTCCTGGTTGAAACGAAGTTACCTTCGCTTTTTTGTGAAGGAAAAAGTGTTAACACATTTTTCGGTTTCGCTCCCATCCGCTCAGAAGACCACTTCCCGTAATAAAAGTTCGGTCACAATTCAGTTTCCATCAACTCTTGATCTCACAACTGTCATGAAGGGTAGTAAATTATTAAATATCCAACGTTGACTGTAATATGATTATAATATTGTATATGAAAATTGGTAATCCGCTAGTCTTAGTAATACTTTTCTATTTTACTACGAAAATACCTTTTATGACAGTTTTGAGATCGAAAGTTGATCGGAACTGAATTGCGACCGAACTTTTATTACGAGAATTAGCCTTCAGAGCGTGTGAGGCGTGATAAGGAACTTTGTTCCAATGATCAGGTTGTCTCGAAGGAGTGTGACCACGGACACCGTGACACGAGATAATTATAGCCAGACTTATATTGGTCCGTGTGGTGACGGATTAAGAATACAGAGTGTCACCACGCCTATTCATCCCGTGGGTGTCGTAAGAGCCGACTAAGGAAAAAAACTGAGCAGGACAACAGCACTGCAGAGAGAAGGAAAACTTGACACAAACCCTTTACCAACCCGTCTGGCCAGCGTGGTATAGTAGGCCAAAACCTCCTTTCTCAGGAGAGGCTTATGTCCAGCAGTGGACTATTAAAGGCTGTTGATTATATTTTAAATGTGGAAGTGAACTTTCAAGGCTAAACCACTTTTTAATAATTTCTTTCACCAATGGAAAGCTATATTACTAGCGAGTAACATAGGCTACATTTTACCGCGATAATTGACTTACTCGTACACGCGGGCGCGGGAAAAAGTGGAAAGCTAGTATAAGATAAAGCTAATTTTTTTTCTTGTAAAAAGACTACTCCGGCATTAGGGATATATCCTGTGTCGCGTGGGACTTTACAAACATACATGAAACGGACACAAAGAGCACCCAGACTCAGAACAACAATTTGTGGATTACACAAATTGTCGTCCCATGTGGGGTTTGAACACAACACTCGGCGTAGTAGGAAGCTGCGTGGCGACCGCTTAAACCACTACGCCATCCGTGCAGTCGTAGTGTTACAGGAATAGACTGTAGTTAGTATGGAGTGATGATGTGATGGAGAAAGTTAATTTTAAATGATTTAGATGGAAGTTAATTTTAAACTCTTGTTAGAAAATACATCGACATCATCAACAGCCTTTAACAATCCACTGCTGAACATAGGCCTCTCCTTAGAAAGGAGGTTTTGGCCTACTATACCAGGCTGGTCAGACGGGTTGGTATAGGGTTTGTTTCAAGTTTTCCTTCGCTTGGCAGTGCAGTTGTCCTGCGTAGTTTGCTCTCTTAGTCAGCTCTTACGACACCCACGGGATGAATAGGGGTGGTGAAACTCCGTATTCTTAATCCGACACCAGACGGCCAAATACATAGTACATAATAGTAAATACATACATCTATAAATATCTGTCAGAAATAAACCGTGTCTACTACTTTTTATTTTTTTTTAATTTTAGAGGGGGCAGACGGGTCACCTGATGGAAAGTGACTATCGCCGCCCATGAACGTCTGCAACTCAGGAGTCACAAACGCTTTGCCGGGATTTTAGGAAGGAGTACGCTCTTTTCTTGAAGGTTTGAAGGTCATATCGGTCCGGCAATACCGCAGACGATAACCCGTTCCACAGATTGGTTGTGCGGGGCAAAAGTGCCTCGAAACACACAGTACTATCTAAAGATCCTACATTGCGTAAGGAAAGTTTGCACGCTTTATTTTAAAGGAATCAGGAAAAACTGGATTTCCCTTCTAAGATAGAGTAGAGAGATTCTGACTGGTCTGTTGGTTAATAAGTTAAGCCAGAAGTCGTGGGTTCGATTCTCACCCAGGAAAAATAATTGTGTGATGAGCACGATCGTTTGTACAGTATCTGGGTGTAATTTATCTATAATATGTATGTATTTAGAAATATATCGTGTATGTATGTAGAAATAGATGTGTCAAGTTTTTATTATTATTCGATTAACAAGTTAAGGCCTATTATCAGACGGATGATAGACTTTTTTAAAAGCAAAGCAAAATCTACGTTATCTTTTTTTGACATTAATTTGTCTTTCGTTAAACAAACGCGGCTATAGTGAGACAACACATTTAATGTAGGTACATAGTTAACCATAAAATAGGTGCTATCAAAGTTCAACTAACACCGGTTGGTATTTTGCGCGATCGGAATCACTCAGGAACCTCATTTACACCGCACTCTATCTCCGTAACAATTAATACTTTAACAATTATCTTTTTACTTGACATTCAAACCGGTATTCATTTTCGGTGTAATATTTTATGATATTCAGGTCATGATGTGTCGCCATAGTGTTATCAATTATTCAGTTTTAACATATATTTGAGAAAAATAAATCAATATTTCTAATAAAAGACAATAAGAAGCTTTTGAGTACTTTAAAAAAAATTGGCTGGCTTAGGTGCAAACATATATTTCGTTCGTGTGGTGACGGATTAAGGATACGGAATGTCACCACCCCTATTCATCCCGTGGGTGTCGTAAGAGCCGACTAAGGGAGCAAACTACGCAGGACAACAGCACTGCAAAAAGAAGGAAAACTTGACACAAACCCTATACCAACCCGTCTGGCCAGCATAGTCTAGTAGGCTAAAACTTCCTTTCTAAGGAGAGACTTATATCCAGCAGTGGACTTGTAAAGGATGTGATGATGATGATGAATACAAGAATTGAATATAAAGAAAAGTAAGACAATTACATTTAATTATAATAGTATTTTCTATTTACTGCTACGCTAAAAGTCGCGGGTTCGATTCCCGCTCAAGTCGAACGTTTGTGCGTATGAACTTCTAATGTCGGATTTGGTTTATATCAGTTGTTTAGTACTCATAGTACAAGCTCTGCTTAGTTTGGGACTTGATGGTGTTATGTGTGTGTGGTATTCTTACTGTTTATGTGTGTGTGTTTATTACTTAAATTTTATGTAAAGCGTCTGTCCGGAATACGGCTAGCGCTGTGGGTTAGAGTGAGAGAGGAGGAGCCTGCTTACAGCCTGTATTTGTTTAAAAATAATAGAATATTTATTCTATTATTTTTAAACAAATTACAATTCTATGTGACACAAGCACAATATCACATAGCTACGGAAGCGATTAACTTACTTTACATTTATGTGAGCGGGTTCATTCCCGAGTCGTGCCAATGCACTGCAGATCTATTAATTAACTTTAATCCATGTTATACGCCCAATTAAATAGGGTGAATTTAGTGATTGCCTAATTAAACAATGTGGGTATTTGTTTTCGAAATATCTATGTATATATGTGGAATATTGATAATTAAATTATTCTGAAATTAAAGTTGGCAAAATGCTGACTTTTAATTTGTCCCTGCCCATGCCTTCGGGAATTTAGGCGTAACTGTATGTGCATGTAACTGCCTTATTGTTAGTTAAGTGATATTTATTTCTGAATAAATTAATGTCGCTAAACTTTGTGATTAAATGAATATTTACGTACACTAATTTTTTTTAAATGATTCTGATCTTGAACTAGTTGCATTTCCATATATTAATTATAAATGTTCTGTGACTATATTTAGCAATAATAGTGTTATTTAAGGTTATTTTATTTGGTATATCATTGTCACCTATTTACTTTCATCACAACAGCAGCCTTAAATAGTCCACTACTGGACGTAGGCCTCTCATTTGAAAGTAGTTTTGGCCTACTAAACCACGCTGGCCAGGGTTGGTATCGGAAGGGTGGTTATAACCAGCCAAAACCAGTTACAATGATATGATTGGAAGAAAGTAAAAGTTTGTAATACTTCAGGTAGAGATTAAAAATACTCACTCAAAAGGTCTAGTCAACCCGTAAAATCTATGTTCAGTGTAGAACAAGGCTGCACGGCTCTTCTCTGCCAGTTCGTAAGCAAGTCCGCCAGTCAGGTACCCTGGGGTGATCTGCCACTCTCCTCCCACCACTATTACGATGTTGTCAGCAGCGAATTCGTCATTGTAGTAATAACGCTGAGGAATAAGTGAAAATAAGGCAGTAATTAATTACAGGTCACGTTAGCTAAAAATATTTTTTTTTAACATTAGAGTTTATGTTAATATATATGACTAGCTGGTCGCGCCCTGGTTCGCGTGGAATTTGAAAATCGCTGCCTTAGTGGGTTGGATTCCCGGACCGGACAAAATTTTAAAGGATTTTTCAGAGATAAAAAATAGCCCAAGTTACTTCTTATACCTATAGACAGCTATCTGTTAGTAAGATGTTATCAAAATCGGTCCAGCCATTTTGAAGGTTATCCGGCACAAACAGAGAGATAAAAAATATTTAAACATGTTTAAAGGCATAGGTATCGGGCAAATAACCGTGTAAGCATAAAAATACCTATTATTTTTACATTACAAACAGACACTCCAATTTTGTTTATTTTTATTGATGATTAATATACATTTGTGGGAGATCGTGGGAGAGCCAACACATGGATCTGTTTGACCGGAGTATTACCAGGGCCTCACTGAAAATCAGTCTTCAGTAATCCTTTACTTACTTTTCTGAGGTGAGGTTGATGGCAGCCTAGTCTCCTCTTCTCTAACTCCCCTATTTATATGCAATTTAATCGATACTTCAGTCAAACCAAAAATTATGACCTTGACTATGAGTTCAATTATTTTTTTCAAACTTAACTTCTTCTCTTAACTTTCTATAGGTAATTACCATTTTAAATGTTTGTGTATCAGATGCCATGAAATGGTTCAGTCTGACGTCGATCCAACCTTCGACGGGTGTTCTGGTTGACTGGCGCGTCGGTGCTGGGGGTTCCCGGAACTGGACCGCCAGACATGGTGACAGCAGCAGTAGCAGCAGCCCGGAGGATGCCTGGAACCCTGTATACACAAAACTTAGTTGATATAAGAAAAAAAAAACACCTCTGGCAGATGTGACATATCGAAATTATTTTGTAGAAATAAGGAGTATAAAGGATAACTTATAAAAAGGAAACAGATGGCTGAGCCGAGTGGGGAGAGAGTCGCAGAGTGACTTGCACATGGCGACGCGTCGCGCCACACCGTATTACAAGTTACAAATGTGCGGATACGCGACGCGTCACCACGCCAACAGCAGCGTCTGACTCTCCGCATTAGATGTTTCAATCAAACTGATGATAAATATACTTATAAATACACTAAAAGAACAAATCATCGTACATAGTGCGGATACGCGACGCGTCACCACGCCAACAGCAGCGTCTGACTCTCCGCATTAGATGTTTCAATCAAACTGATGATAAATATACTTATAAATACACTAAAAGAACAAATCATCGTACATAGTGCGGATACGCGACGCGTCACCACGCCAACAGCAGCGTTTGACTCTCCGCATTAGATGTTTCAATCAAACTGATGATAAATATACTTATAAATACACTAAAAGAACAAATCATCGTGCTCATCACATAACTATTTGTCCTGGTTGGTAATCGAACCCGCCACCTGACTCACAGTCAAGATCACTAACCACTTGACCGTATTGTAAACATTTTGAGTCAGCATCACGAGGCAATTTTACCTTCCTACCTACCTAACAACTTTAGAGTTTCTTCACGAGATCCTGCTAAGCGCACACCTACAGTGATTAATGATGAAGTACATACCATTCCCGGTGGTTTAATCTGAGCTTATCGTTACTGTTAGGGTCCTAAAGGCCATAGCGTGAAGGCAAATCTGTATATATGTAAAACTATTTGCCCTGACTTTTTAAAATCCTTTTTTTAGTGGGTGCTTACAACATGAAAAGCATTAGCTCCCAAAATTTCGAGTTTATAGCTCCAGCGGTTTAGACTCTGCCTTGATAAATCAATCAGAAGATCAGCACCTACTAAGAAAGGTTTTTTTTAATAAGAAATCCCTTCCATCCCAAGGGTAGTATGGAAGTTCGTCATTTTCATAGTTAGAAATTCGAAATAAGAAAATAATCACGTAAGCGAAACCGCGGGCAATAGCTAGTATCTTATAATCTAAGTTATTATAAGAATATATACTTACACATGTTTATTAAAGTATCAAACGTATATAAAATACAGTTGCTTATCGGCGCAAGCGCACTTAATAACTGGCATATTTTACTGAAATATCCACATCTATTGATAATGTTTTAAAATCTTATCTTTTATATTATATACTGATAAATGTATTACCAGTATATACATATCTAATAATTCTATGTCAATATAAGTAGATATCTTCATTGATGCTCTGTTTTACGGGTGATAACGGATTGTTGTTGTATGGACTTGTAATGCGGAGAGATGTGCGAAATGGCGGCTCGAACAGAGTGATACAACGTCCTCACAGTAAACAGGTTCGTCAGCATCTCTCAAAAGGAATAATTTTTCCCTGTTTTTGCAACATCTTTATCAAGTCAATAACTTTCCTTGATAAATGGGCTATCCCACACTAAAAGGTTTTTTCACAATACGTCCTCAGATCAGCGGGTTCAACCAAACAACCAAAAACATCTTCAGTTTTATAATATTTACGTAAATTATGTTATGATTCCTACGTCTACTATAAATACAAGCTACTTTGGAGCATTCTCTGTTGCCAGATGCTGTGATAAAATATTTTATGTTCTATTATTCTTTTTTTAGCATCTGTATCGATTAAGTAAGAATCTTGCCAGATCTTATGTTGGCTCCAATCTTTCCTACCTCTTCTCAAAAGAGATAAAATAAGAGAGAAATAGAGTACTTTATTCTTTTATGATATGGGGGAGGAAGAATGAACAGTCGGGTCTCCTGATGGTTAGTAAATATCCAGATGCAAAACTCTAGAGTCAAAAGAGCATTGACTGCTGCCTCTGAGGTGGGTGTACGCTTTTTTTGAGGTTGTTTTGAAGTGTCATTTGTTTTACGTTTATATTGTATACTAGCTGACTAGCTTTCTCCGTTTTTTAAACATTCTTGATTGGTGCTCCGTTCCTATTGGTCTCAGCGTGATGATATATAGCCTATAGCCTTCCTCGATAAATGGGCTATCTAACACTGAAAGAATTTTTCAAATCGGACCAGTAGTTCCTGAGATTAGCGCGTTCAAACAAACAAACAAATAAACAAACAAACTCTTCAGCTTTATAATATTAGTATAGATACCTTATTATAAAAACACACACACACTGGTTATATACTTACACATATTTGTGAAAAAATATAACAAATAGTAAGGGAGCCCTAGAAGGGATTTCGGGATTTACTGGAGCGTGTCAGATTAAGATGGAAGGAATACCTTACACCCAGTTGAGTACTTAAACCATACATGAACCCTACACATAGAGGGGAGCGTCTAGGGCAGCCCATCAATGAAGGCCAGAAGTACTCGAGCGTGTAAGATTAATACTTTAATCTTACACGCTCAACTTTGACTCAACTTACTAGTTGAGTCAACTATATACACATTAGTGAGTATTTAAAAAAAATCTGACATTTTGAGCTTGATATAAAGCAGTTGGAGGGTTACAAAGTTCCAAAAAAACCCATGACCTTGAATTTATATTTTAATTTTGAAGCAAGCAATGCAATAAATCTTTTTTAAATGTCTACATAATTTCTACATCATACATGTGCCTTTATTTGTCACATTCTATAAAAAATCAAAATACTTCTAATCGTCAGATTTAAAATGATTTTAGGCTAGTATGAGAGAGGAACATAGCTGAACCGTCCATATAAAATCTAACACGCTCGGATATTTCGAAATGGCGATTTTTCGAATTCGCAGTTTTGCATTTTCGATAATTCGCTACGAGCTTGTGTCACATTCAAATCGTCAAACTTTCAACGGTGCATTTTTAGCGTTCAAATAACATATCACCAAAATATCTGATGCGCCCGAAATTTTTTTTTCGATTTCTTTCCCTTACATTTTTGGAAACCTGTAGAAGCTTTTCCCACCGCTGAAAGTGGCTACGTTACATAACTTTTATTCATTCTTTTACCTAATCTTTCAAATGCAATAGGTCCCCATGCCGCTCGAGTTAATCCACATTTAGCATCATGGGCTGGCCTGCTCAAAGACTTATGACTGCACGTCTGGCGTAGTGGTTTAAGCGGTCGCCACGCCGCTTACTACTACGCTGAGTGTTGTGGGTCCGATCCCCACATGGGACAACACTTTGTGTGCTTCACAAATTGTTGTTCTAAGTCTGGGTGTTCTTTGTGTCCGTTTCATGTAAGTTTGTAAAGTCCCCCGCGACACAGGATTTGTTCCTAGTGCAGGAGTTGTCTTATTAAAAAAAAAAACAAAGATCAATTAAAAAACAGTTGCTTTCGGCGCAGGCGCACCATATAACTGGCCTGTTTTATTAAATTATCTCCATCTCATAAAATGTATAAAACCTAATCGTTTATATTATACACTGATAAACATATCAAATACTATTTAAAGTAGTCCTTATCCAAACTCCATATAAAACAATAGATACATATTGTTTATATATCAGTAAATATGTCAATTCATTATCTCGTATCATTCACCGTTATCTTGTTAGAACAGTTAATTTGACATTAACATGCTTTACGAATCTTAACGTATCAGTATTAAAAACAAAACTTATTTTAGGGTTCTGTGGTCAACTAGTCGTAATTACCGACTAATAATGAAAACCAGCCGGCCATAAAGGAAAAAGCCAAAATCATTTCGTAATGAAATAAAGGAGTTCGTTTATGATTCAGAATGATCAAGAAGAATAGCAGAAGATTAGTCATTGCACTGACTTGGGTAGGCAGATGATGATGCTGATGATACTGTTGTTGATGCAGAATGATACTTTGACACCTGTCTCGCATTAACACGAGGCATGTTTATTGCATATGTTTTTAATTTAAATAAAACAGCTACTTTCTTTTTGTTCCACTTTAAGTTTCGTTAATAATAATAACGAATACTACTAATTAAAAATAACTAACTAGTTCTAAGTGTTGTCCTGGATGGGCATCGAACCCTTAACAACTGACTTTGCAGTTGTGATCACTAAGTAATAATTGTTATTAAAAAATCTAGTGACAAAATTTCAAGACCGTAGCCCAGACGGTTTAGATTCTGCGCTGATGAAACACTTAGTCAGGGCTGGGATGTAAATATGTATAGATTATTATGTAAATTCCTAAAATACTTGTCATAAATACCGTGTGCATTGAAGCTTTCACTATCGCCAGATGATCCAACATATTTTTTGTTTTTAATACTTGTAATGCGGCACCTGTGATTGTTATGCGCTTGCGCAGGTCACGTGCGAAAAGTGAGTCAGTTACGAAGAATATAAATGTGTAGTTGCTGGATGGGCCAGAGATAAAAAAAATTTTTTTCATGGTTTAGGGGGGAAATAGCAGACGGGTCACCTGATGGTAAGTGACAACCGTCGCCCATGAACCCCTCTCCCTAGTGTTAGAAGGGACCTTCGGTTAACCCACTTACTTTGGTGGAAAGTAACGAAAGAATTGCCTAACACCGGTTGTCTGTTAGGTCTTGACCTGGCACTCTTACGTTGAAACACAACACAACACAACACGTTCTTCCCATTTACTTTTTATAAAGGACAGACAAACATAAAGGAAAACTCGCTGCACCTGTTTTCTCTAAGGTTGTGGGCTCACTCCCTTAGGACTGGCCCAATTGTATCAAAGTATGACTCTCCAACGCTCTGACACATCTAGTCTCTAAAACGTATATTCTATATTCAAGCCACTGTATTTTCCATACCCTATGGCGCTACCATTAATAATGATTCATACCCATGACTCATGGGTGTTCATACTACGTTTAAAATGCAAATCTCGTTTTATGATATCTGTCGCTTGAATATTTGATGTGAGTTTGATTTCTAACTTGGTAACGTTTTGTATCGTACATGTTCTTTCCCGGCTGTTGATTGAAATCCACATAGGTGGAAATAGGCCTCTCCTTAGATAGGAGGTTGTGTTCTCTATACCACGCTGGCCAGACGAGTAGGTATAGGGTTTGTGTCAAGTTTTCCTTCTCTTTGCAGTGCTGTTCCTTAGTCGGCTCTTACGATATCCACGGGATGAATAAGGGTGGTGACACTTGGTATTCTTAATACGTCACCACACCGATAGTCGATTGAAAGCCTTGAAACAAAGGCTTTGAGTGTTGAATAAGTAATACAAATTGTCAATGAAAATGATTGATAAAGGTATTTAAAGAAATTGTGACTCACGCGTTTGTGGTGTATGGTTCAATTTGGATTATAACTCATTGTAGTGTTGTATTTTATTGTACTGTATAATTTGGTCAATTTTATATAATCACAAATGAGCCAGCTCGACCTCGAAATTGTCTATTACAGTTTTATTCTCACTTACTTAATAGAGGGGAACTCCCTTGCCGTTTTAGTAATTAAATAAATCATACATAAATATCCCCACGCCTTTAAAACTTATGGGGTAGGTAGAGACGTTAATACGTCTACGTTAGCTTATAAAGGCGATTGCAAAATGTTGATTTTACTAACTATAACTTTCTAATTTCATGTCTCATATGTATTATCTGTCGATGATTGAATAGTGTTTATTTGTACACCATTTTTACTAGAGTCGTGTTGTAAATAAAAATGTACAGATGTATAATGTACAAAGGGCGGCCTTGTTACAGACTGCAATTTGTTACAGGCAACCTAAGGATGGATCAAAATGTTTCAGAGCGACGGTAGTATTTGCATTTATATTCTCTGTTAACAGATACATCAATATTTTATGATATCATTCTATCTAAAACCCTATTGCAGAACTTTACGTGAGTACTGAGTACTGACTTGACTGGTCTTGTGGCCGTGACTGCTAAGCCAGAGATCGTGGGGTCTATTCCCACCCAGGACAAATTATTGTGTTTACGATCGTTTATTCTGTGTCTGGGTGTAATTTATCTAGTTTGGAATCACACAGCCGTGTGATGTCTGAGGTTTTTATTATTATTCACTTTTTTTCATTTAATATACATTTAAATTACATTATTAAATATTATTATTATAAGCGTGAT